CTGCTGTTTTTACATTTCACCAGAAGATGGCAGTAGACCTGTGGCTGCTGCTGTTTTTACATTTCACCAGAAGATGGCAGTAGACCTGTGGCTGCACCCTCGCCACTGTGCCGTGTGTGATCCTTTCAGCCCAGCCCATTTCTGACATGGCGACTGTAACTAAAAAAAGGAAAGTGGACAGCAAGGGCCGCCGCTTCCAGGTCAAGTGGAAATTGGAGTATTTTTTCACTGAAATACGAAACAATTGCATCTGCCTAATTTGCCAAGAGACTGTGGCTGTTTTCAAGGAATTCAACATCAAGAGGCACTACCAGACAAAAAGAAGCGGAGTTTGACTTTTTCTCGTTGGCCTATGATGAAAGCACGGATGCATCTGACACCGCTCAGTTACTGATTTTTTTGAGAGGAGTGGACAATGACATGAACGGGAGTGAAGAGCTTCTCGACCTCCAGAGCCTGAAGGACCAAACAGGAGGAGCAGATCTATTTGTTTCTGTTTGTTCTGGCGTAGATGACATGAAACTACAGTGGAATAAAGTCACTGGGATTACCACGGATGGTGCACCTGCCATGACTGGCGAGCGAAGTGGTCAGCAAACAAAGTCAGCAAACAAGGAGGCAAAGCGATCGACTCCATTGTATTATTCATCACCAAGTTCTCTGTGCCAAACATCTGAAATATGATCATGTTATGAAACCGGTGACAAAGGCTATTCATTATATTCGCTCCAGAGCCCTGTGCCACCGCCAGTTTCAACAGGTTCTGCTCGACATCCAGGCTGAATACGGAGATGTTGTGCAGCATCACAACGATGTGAGATGGCTCAGTAGGGGGTCTGCACTGCAGCGCTTCTACTCTCTTATGGAGGAAACTGAACAATTCTTGGCAAAAAAAGGGACAACCGATGCCAGAACTATCTGTTCCTGTTTGGCTGGCTGATTTGGGATTTTTAGTTGACATAACACGACATGTGAATGCGCTGAACACGAGCCTTCAGGGGCAAAATGCAGCGGTAAGCCAACTCCATTCACACATCAGAGCCTTTGGGAGCAAGCTGCTACTCTTCCACAGGCACCTGTCACAGCCCAGTATGACACACTTCCCATCGCTGCAGGACATTATGACCAGTTTCCAACAGAACTACATCAGTGCGCAAATGAGAAGGTATGCAGCAGACATCTCATCTCTGGCTGAGGAGTTTCAACAGCGCTTTCAGGATTTTGCAGCTATTGAAAGGGAGATCAGGCTTCTTTCCTCTCCTTTCTCTGTGGACCCTGATGACCAGACCAGACCACCTGCAGCTGGAGCTCATGGAGCTGCAGTGCGACGCTGAGTGTCGTAGTCGGCACCAGCAGCTCCCTCTTGTCAGCTTCTACCGCCAGCTGGATGAAGGCAGGTTCTATGACATTCGAACATTTGCTAAGAAAATGCTGGGCTTGTTTGGCTCGACATACTTGTGCGAGAAGACATTCTCAGTTATGAACATTAACAATATTTGCGCGAGGACTAAGTGACTCTCACCTGCGTGACATGCGTCTTGCGCATCAAAACCACCGTTTGTGAGCCAGACCAGGACTACATGCTGCAGTCCAAAGCTCAGTACCACCCTTCACATTAGTGCAGGCAGATATTTGTTTAGTCCTCTGAGGTAAATAAGCTCTAAAATCTCAGTGAATTGATTTTTTTGTGATGCTCAAAACCACAGTTTTGAATATGCACTGACCTGTGGCGACTGAGATGGCCTACTCCAGCGTGGCGGGACTTGGTGCACATTTGACTGGAACTATTGCAACCTGTGGGGCCCTGTTTAAGGTGGTGGAAGATATGCTGGGCTTTGCCTTTGACCTTTGCAGCGTTCCTTTGGTTAGATGACCATCCGTGGCTCAGACTGTTGTAAACGGGGGCCAGCATGAGTCAGACAGTGAGCTGAGTAACAGGACAATCTGTATGTCCCTATGGTGAGGTGACTTATCTCTTGAGTGAGGTATCTCACCAGACCATCCTCTTTGCACAAAGCAAGGAAGAGGTACGCTTATCTTGAATGACAGGTGACGCCACGTCAGTCCCTTTAGTAGGAAGGAGGCGTGGCTCTGCGCCAGCACTGGCTGAACTAATGACATAAACACAGTGAGACAGCTCGCCCATAAGACACCCGGGCTTCAGAGAAAAGTCACGTTTTCTCCCACAGTTGTGGTGAGCTGCAAATCTCAAAGGAAATCTATTTATTTGTAAATACGTGCAGCTCAAACATTAAGAATGACTTTTGCATCTAATGATAATGTGCAAGAAATACATTTTTAGAAACCGATAGCAGGGTTATAACTTTAGTAGGAAATCAGAAAAGGAAGCAGTGTAGAAACAAATCCTGAACTGCCTTTGAAACAAGATAAAATCAAGTCTAGCTTTTGGTCTTTAATGACCTCCTTGGTTACTTACTGTAGTCTGCCAGAGTCCTCTCATCCTGCAGCACTCTGCCCTGGTAGATCAGCCTCTGCTTGTCCACCGGGATGCCCACTGAAGGCGCAATGTGCTCCTTGAACTCCTTCACAGTCAACTACAAACAGACACACAGTCACAACTCAGGACCAGAAGGTTTCAATAAAGATGAGAATGAACCCCAACTGGCAGCAGGACTTACCTGAGCACCGACGGTGTAGGTTCTGCTCTGGGAGTCCAGGGTTTTCACCGTCACCTCGATGTCTCCAGTTGGTTCTTCCATGGTGTTCCTGCATCACAGGATCAATGAGTTTCAGTAACTGCAGCCCAGCTGGGATTCTTAGGGCCTTCAATGGTATATATGTTTGAGAAATTAAAACCTCTGATTCCATCTTGGTTCTTATAAACATGAACAACCCTTCTGAAACAAGAATCCCTGCAGTTTGTGATAGATAGCTGTGACTGAGACGGGTTAGGGCATTGTACAGGTTAAAAATGAACTTTCTTTTGGACAAATTCTGCGATGGGAACACAGCTATGGGTAAATCATTTGTCTATAAATAGGATCAGATTTGTTTTGAACTGATCAATAAAGTGCTCCACAGAAAACGCTGACCACCTCTGCGGCCTTCAGCTGGCCCTGCTGGGGGTGATGATCTCTGACAGTGAGAGCCATCGGTCAGCAGACTGTGGCCAAGCTGAGTCTGTGTTATTTCACCTGACACTAATCTGCTTTGTCCTGCTTCGTTTTCTGACCTATTTATAACAAAAAGTTATACTATGCTTGTGCAAATGTAACCCTACATAAGAAGCTTGTGTAAAAAACTGAACTGTTCCATTTCACTGACCGCTCTGGTGGTTTTCAGGGGGTCTCTGGGAGACCTCTCCAGGGAGCTCCAAGAAGAATGCTGGTTCAAATGGACGAACTGTTAAAAGTCACTTAACAAGGAAATAATCGTAATATTCACTGACTTAAGGGTTTGTTTCTTTCCTCTTTAATATACATTTTAATCACTTTAAAATAGCCTGGACAAAAAGAGCAGCCTGAACTAGCGACAATAATCTGGGGAAGCCATTTATTGGACAGACACAGCATTTTGATTTGAGATATACATTTTAAAAGTGTAGCTTCGCGTCAATATTAACTGTCCATGAGATTTACAACGTGATAGTGCATTATCACTTATGACAGCATTACATTAAAAACCCTCCGGCATGATGTCTGAGGACTGGCAGATAAATACTAAGACGGTTCAACCACAGCGTGCTGGCTGGACGGACGTATACATGATGACCATGTGCAGCCTCTGAGAGTCCAGCCTGCTCACATTAAATCCAACACAGCGGTCTGATCAGTTAGAAGCCACTCCTCATGTATCCTAAACTACAGCACCTGTCATTTGCTAACTGTATTGTTTCTGATATGAAATGTATTAGTTATTTTTGCTAAATGTAAATCATTAAATAATGAGCAATAATTGTTAATTGTTGTCAATATCAATGTTAATTAACTGATGGACCGTTCAACTAAGACTTGTTTTATACTAATAGTAAATCACATCTTCTGGAAATGTATGTATTATACGTCCCAAACACACCCACAGCACAGCGCTGATGAACCACACTATACTATATATACTATACTATATACACTATACTATATATAGTATATACACTATGTACTATAGATACTATATAGTACAGGCAGGAACACACCCACAGCACAGCGCTGATGAACCACACTATACTATATATACTACACTATACTATATATACTATATAGTACAGGCACTAACATATCCACAGTACTGATGAACCAGACTATACTATGTATACACAATACACTATATATACTATATACACTATATATACTATATACTATACAATATATACTATATAATACTAGCAGTAACACAGCCGTGTGGTGGATTTAGTTCAGCAAAGCTCAGAAGTTCCAAAAGAAGCAGACACATTTTGACCACCAAGCATTAGCCAACGTCGCTAATCAGCTAAGTTTAGGCTAACTGTGGAGATGAGCCGAGTGAAGCCCCGCAGCTGGGTTCTGCTGGGCCGGACTCCGGCACCTTGTCTTCGCTTCCAACATCTGAAACCCTTCCCAGCAGCTGGATGCAAGAACATCCTGCTTAACGTCCACTGGTCTGTTAGCAGGGCTAGCGCTGCTTAACTTGGAAACCAGGCACACGTTTGGAACGAAGCTAACTTGCACAAGCTAACTAGTAGCGCGGCTAGGCTAATGCTACAAACACTAAACGTTACAGTTAGCTTAGCATATTAGCATACAGCAGAACATTCAGCGTGTTGTTGAACGTTTACCTTAAACGTCGCTCTCTCCTTTCAGCTTATCCGGCGTCTGCAGCTGTTTCTTATCATCAGTTAGCATACGGACGACTTCCTGGTACTAGCTCTCTCCAGAAGCTACCAGGCTACACGGATGTGACGCCACCGGAACCGCTGCGCACGGGCCAAAGAAAAATGGCGAATCTCGTGGAGGCGACGAGTCAACAGCAGTTGGAAGATTTCTTGGCCAAAGCTGGGAAATGCCTGACTGTGGTGCACTTCCAGGCGGCCTGGGCGCCCCAGTGCCGCCACATGAACGACGTGATGGCGGAGCTGGCCAAGGAACAGCCGCACACCACGTTTGTGAAGCTGGAGGCGGAATCGGTTCCGGAGGTGTCGGAGAAGTATGAGATCTCCTCCGTGCCGACGTTCATTTTCTTCAAGGCGGGAGAGAAGGTGGACCGGCTGGATGGGGCCCACGCTCCGGACCTCACCAAGAAGGTGCAGCGCTTGGCGGTGAGCGGTAGCCCCGCTGGAGCCGCGGAGAACAGCCCCGAGGACCTGAACCAGCGGCTGAAGAAGCTCATCAACGCCGCCCCCTGCATGCTCTTCATGAAGGGCGCCCCGCAGGAGCCCCGCTGCGGCTTCAGCCGGCAGATCGTGGCGCTGCTCAAGGAGCACAACATCCAGTTCAGCAGCTTCGACATCCTGTCCGACGACGGGGTCCGGCAGGGCCTGAAGACCTACTCCAACTGGCCCACCTACCCGCAGCTGTATGTGAACGGGGAGCTGGTGGGGGGGCTGGACATCGTGAAGGAGCTGGCAGAGTCCGGGGAGCTGGAGAACACCTGCCCCAAGGCCGTCACCCTGGAGCACCGCCTGAAGACCGTCATCAACCAGAGCCCGGTGATGCTGTTCATGAAGGGCAACAAGGAGGCCGCCCGGTGCGGCTTCAGCAGGCAGATTCTGGAGATCCTGAACGGCACCGAGGTGGATTATGACACCTTTGATATTCTGCAGGACGAGGAGGTGCGTCAGGGGCTCAAGACTTACTCCAACTGGCCCACGTACCCCCAGCTGTACGTGAAGGGGGAGCTGGTGGGCGGCCTGGACATAGTGAAGGAGCTGAAGGAGAGCGGGGAGCTGGTGTCGGTGCTGAAGGGGGAGTGAGAGGTGGACCTTTGCCATCAGGGAGTGGGAACAACAAGCTACTGCACATGCCCAGTCCCTTCCTCTGATAGCCAGTCTGTTGTAGCTGTTGGTAGTTTCCAGCTAAGTCAGAAATAAAACCGCAGTCAGAGGTGAGGATTCACAGCACAGGTGTGTTCTTAGTCATTCTCAGAAATGTTCTTGGCCTGATTTTGTCAAAGCCGAGGGGGTCCAGCTCCTCCTCCTCCTCCTGGCTGTCTGCTTCCTGGGACAACAGCTGACTGTCGTCCACATGCTCTCATATCTCCGGCTTCTCCTTCCACATTCACAGCCTCACACTTCACATAGATGTCTTTGTTTTCGGACCGGCCCGGCTGCTCCCTCTCCACGACGTCCCGTCTGCACATTCTTCACCTGAACATCAGAAGAACTTCAAGGACCACTCTGGTTTAAATGCAACTGCTGTCCAGATTCTAATTAAACAATAAAACGACTAAAGATGTAGTTGTTGTTTTTTGGTGCTATGTCCAAACACCTCAGGTCCTGTCAGCTGCAGCATCCATCCCCACTAGTCCAGAACAGAGGTACTGCTCAGCTGCAGTTCAGCTACTGTTAAAATCAATCAAAGGCAGGAGGTGGGCACGTTAGCAGCTACGCTTTATGGTGAAATGTCAGCCACAGCAAACACTAGAAGCTCTCTGCAGCAGATGGCACACTTCATGTGAGCACTGCTGGACCTCTGCTGGTCAAACACTTCCTGCTTCCTGGTGAGTTTTTATGCAACAGTTTGTTTCTTTTGCATCACTTTAAGGTGGAAATTCATTATTCATGACAAGGAAAACACAAAATGTTGATGTGATCCACTCCTGTTGTCACCACAGTAGACACGGGCTTGTTTTAGCTCATCATGCTGATTAATTAAAAAAACGACTGAGCTGAAGAGAAAATGAAAGGAAGAAAGAAAAGCTTCTGTCTGAGGCGGTTTCCTGAAATATAAGCCTTCTGCTTTTTCCTGTTACTGCTGCAGGGACTAGCACATGTCCAGTCCTCTGGAGGAGGTCATACACCAGAACAAGCTGTGTTTGACACCACCTGCTGGAAGCAGAGGTGGAGCACAAGTCAGACTAGATCTTGTAGTAAAAGTATTAACACCACACTACAAAAACTCCACTACATGTAAAAGTACTGCATTCTAAACCTTATGTGAGTATTAGCAGCAGAACGTCCAGTATTCAAAGTGACAGTCGTCTTCTGTTGCTGTGGATGTTTAGGATGAAGCTCATCTCAGTGACTTCATGTACTGCTGGTAGTTTGATCTGCAGCAACGCAGCGCCTGCTGGCAGCTCGTTATCATGCTGCCAAATGATGAACACTGATTCCATGAGATTAGAGAAGCAGCTCTGCTTCCAGCTTTGTGACCGTCAGCTCATCCACACTGAAGAACAAAGAGTTTATATGCAGACGAAAGACAAAAAGAGGAAGAACATGTACAGGTATGACATGGACAGCGGCCACATCCACAGCCTCACTGAATGGTTGGATGACAGCGATGTGAGTCCTGTGCTGTGGCCTTTCCAGTCAGTAGATCTGAAGCCAACACTTTGTGCAGATGTAGGATGTGAAGCAGCTCTCCATCCCTCCAGTAGAGCTAACCAACACCTCACGGAGACGCTTCATGTTCATTTCTCCTTTAATTTGTCACCCATTTATAACTTTAAGTGTAAGAAATGCTCTCAGGCCAGAAACATTCAAACTTTCAATTAATCAGAACAAAAAGTCCGATTAGAAACAGCAAACACACAGATGTGGTGTTCTGGACAGAAAGAGTTTAAAAACCTGTAACCTGACAAGCAGCTAAAGCTGTCAGACAAACGTAACGGAGCAAGAAGTCCGGTTCTGGTTCGGGTTTGGCCTCTGACATGTAGTGCAGTAGAAGCAGGATGTAAGGACAACACGCATCAGTTCATCCTTCACTGCTTCACAAAAACCTACATGAGACCTGGAACAGCTGCTGAACAGTCAGTCAGAATGAACTGTTTACGGTCTTTGAACTACTTTTCTGAGTGAATATTTGCTGGTTTTATGAGTTTGAAAGGCAGGTCATCTTTAAAAACTTGCACCAATGACAGCATTTATCAGAACCGGACCTGAATAAACAGACACGTGTTTGTAACTGTAGACCGCTCATCGTAGGGCCCGGGCTGCCCGAACCGAATCGAAGCTTAAAAAATGTGATGTTTCATCAAATATTTTACCCAACATGTCTCATTAAAAAGAAAGCTCAACAGTAACTAGATTCTGTCGTTGTGACGGTGTCATACGGCGTAGTAGAGGGTTCTGTCCTCACCGTGGCGTCCCGGTTTCATGGAGGGACAGAACTTTATACTGCAGTAAAAACAGAAGTCCACAGAGAGTTCAAACATGACAGGAGAGTGTGTTTGCACTGTTTACAGATAAACCACACTGATAGGAGACATTTCATGAAACAAAACAGACTTGATTAATAATGAATAATTAACTCAGTGCTCTTTAATGCTGTCCCCCCCAAAGCCAGCGTGGGAGGCACACAGCACTTCAAACATGTAGTTAATGATCCCTCACGTCTGTTGACAGTGAGCGTGGGCTGAACGCAAACAAATTAGTAATGCTGTGCTCTTTGACTGTTTCGAAACGGGAGCTTGAGGTTGCAGCTTGTTGGTTGACTGACGCCGTCTATAATTAGCTGCAGCTCTGTGGACGAGGTTTTTTTTTTAAAAACGTCACCTCCTACATACGATGGTGACTCAGTAAGAGTGAGTGAACTGGGTTTTTGTCCTTTCACAAGATTCTGGAGCACGCTTCTTCTATGAAAGCGTGATTCATTTACAATAAATATTTCCATCCGATACAGTCTGTATATTAACTGATACCTGAACCCCACATGTAACCAGCGTGTGCTTTCTTCAAAAGTCAGAGGTACTCCAGCTGTGCGGGTTAATCATTGACTTCCACCCACAGTATTTACCTGACATGTTGGGACTTTACACACATTCAGTGTTTTGATTCATCACCAGGCCTTGATTCCAGCTGCAGCTATGCTACAGGAGGCCTTGTCTTCCTTTCTGCACCTGTATGGCTTGTTGTATCAGGCCATCATGCCCTGCTCGCATCCTGAGCTGCTGCCTGTGAAAAGTGTCGACCGTCAGCAGGTAAGAAGCTAAATCCCGTGGAGATGTTCTGTTGGAACAGCACCAAAACTTATTGCAGTGAGATGAGCTGCTGTGACTATCGGTGCTGCCACGTGGCTCTGCTGAGGCGTGCTTTGCGTGTGCGGCACTTCTCTTTCGCAGCTACTGCAGATGCAAACAGATATACCGAGATAAACATTAGTCGGCACCACACAGATGCATTTTCCACCCCTCTGCTCTTTCCATGAGTGGTCTTTGTCGCAAGCCGTGGGCTCATCTTTTAAATATCTTCCGTTCCCGAGCCTGTGCTGCTACCCCCACGCTCTCTGTGTCTCCGTCTTAGTATCTTGGAAAATGGTACTTTCAAGCGGCAGCCAGTCACAGTGAGGCCGACATCCAGAAGTTCCGAGCGTTGGACAGCATTTTGTTCACCATGGAGGAGCCAGCCAATGACACGCTGCTGCTGACTGGACACATGCGCATGTAAGGTAGCAAGTCCACACGCACACATTCACACTGTGTTCACGGGAAAAGGCCCCAAAGGCTGAAAGCACTAAACAAGTAATGGAGATAAAAGAAAGCTGCAAACATTTGAACACATCCTGCTGCCTGTATGATCGCAGCAATAAGGATGTCCAACATCTACAGCTAAAAGCCATGTCTGTCTTAAAAGGAGGCTCAGCACGATGCTGATGCTGATCACTGACTTCATGGATCCGTTTGCAATAACTGGGATCTGTTTTATGCTGTAATTAACAATTCATATGCAGTTAACAAAGCCCACATCAACAACATGTTTTAGTTTGTGTTCTCATTTACAGTTCTGTGTTGGAAAACTACTGTGAAAATCTTCAGTCTTCAAAAAGTCCTACAAACAAGATCTTTCTCCAGTGAGACTAATTTTGTACCCTAAACTGACAGATGTCATTATTAGGCTGCTAACGTTGATGCATCCGTGTGTCACCAGCAAATCAGCTTCCTGTTGGAGCTGGTGAAGGTGCAGCTGGTTCTAGTTTGGTGGAGGATCAGGCTCCCTGCAGATAGATCCCCGAAGACAGAACAGCAGGCTGTTTGCACTGCAGGAGCTTGTGGGATGCTTAAGGGCAACCTGAACGTTTGTGCACGTTCCAGCCACAAGAACCGTCCATGTGGAACCCTTTTAGGGCTGTTTCTGGTGGAGCAGAGAGCGAGAGTCTGAAAAAAAACACCCTGCACGTCTTAAGACTGATCGGTTAAATTTGGAGCTGAAAGTGACTGTAATCGTCTTCTTTACTCTCCAGTGCGGGCTGCAAGGTTGCTCAGTGGTTAGCATTGTTAGCGCCTCACAGCTAGAAGGTCACCGGTCGGCGTCCCGGTGAGGACACCCGGGATCTTCCTGCGTGGAGTCTCCATGTTCTCCCCGTGCAGCGTGGGTTCTCTCCGGGTTCTCCGGCTTCCTCCCACAGTCCAGAAACATGCTGAGGTTAATTGGTGATTGTAAATTGTCCGTAGGTGTGAATGTGAGTGTGCTTGGTTGTCTGTCTCTAAGTGTAGCCCTGTGATAGACTGGTTACCTGTCCAGGTGAACCTGCCTTCACCCTGAGTCAGCTGGGATAGGCTCCGCCCCCCATGACCCTAGTGAGGATTAAGGTGTAGAGATGATGGATGGATGGACTCTCCAGTGCCACCGTCAGAGGCAGCTTTCCACTGCAGGAACTCAGGGCAAAGCTTCACATGAACACCCCGTCGTCGGCCCTTTCATTCTGTCAGCTTTCATTTCATGACAGGATCTGAAGACTTATCGGGTTCATCCCAGCGTGCCACGACAGTGACAAAGAGCGTTTGAGAGTGTTTGTCTTCTCCGAGTTGAACCTATCAGCATAGAGTAGGTACTTCTCTCTTTAATGAAAAAAAGTCCTGAAAGTGGTTCTGAAGGGGCGGTTCTTGTGGTTGGAACGTGCACAAAGCTCCAGGTCCTAAAACAGCCTGTGAATTCCTTGAGCAGAATTTGACATCAATAGAATTCAGCAGACAGGCGAACTTCGTTCCATCTCCTCCGTGCTCATAGAACTGGAGTTAATTAGTCGGCGTGTTCATCTGTGGTGCACAAAGAGTTCACACTGTGGGTGAAGTTGTGCATCCTGTAAACGCCTGCAGTGGAAAGCCACCTTATGGTGATTTCATGTGATGATTAGGGCAGCAAAAGAAGAAAAAAAAACTCCTGATAGCAATGACAATTTTCTCGAAGGCTTCTAGTGAATGAACCCATCTGAAAAACTGACTTGACAACAACATGTCTCAAACGGCCTGAAGGAATTGATTGTAATTAGGCCCCGATGTTGGCTTGAACTTGAAGATGAACTGATAACTCTTGGTATTCAAAGGTCCCTGTGACCTCCCAACACACTGTTGTGATCATAAAATAAGAATTCACATGTGAACTATGACAGAACCTTAAACATATATCTGATAAAGAGCTGAAGTGAAAAGGTCCAAGGTCAGCGTTGCTGTGACGTCATCATGTTCAGCGTTCAGGGTTAGGGTTTGTTCAACACCAAACCGACAAAGAGACACTGATCCTATTTCACATTTGGCTGGATACTGGTTTGCTCATCTTGGTGCACAGCATGTATTCCATGAGTCTGGACAGACTGGATGTAAACTGCAGCTTCCCAGATTAACAGCTGAATTATCAAAATGTGTTGTAATTTAAAAGCTTAGTCTGAAAAGTAAAGAGCGCTAATTTTTCACTTAGTTTCACATACGTGTGTGAAACTGCTGTGCAGCACAGTGAAAACAAGAAACAAGAAACCCCAGCATCACAAATAGATACTTGAATTAGGGAAGTGACATGTCGAAGACATCAAAGTTGTAAAAGGCATATTTGAAAAATGAAACTCTCTAAGTCATGTTCACTTGTGTACTCAGCTGCTGAATGCACTGTTGTTTTAGAGGAGATGCCTGCATCACACAGACCTGGACCTACCACCTGCACCCTGGGAGGGACGACCTGGAGCTGGAAGGTAACTGCTTCACAAGAGAGCTTCTGAGGGCGAAAGGCAGTTTTATTTACTTTTCTATAAACATGGGAATTTTGTGGCAGGGTGCAGAAATAGAAAAAGCGACTTGACACCAAAACATTGTAGGGATTAAGCCATTTCCCAGAGCTGTATTCTTAGCAGGTCGGGGAAACCCCTGAGCGTCTCTGGTCGACCATCAGGAGCACTGCAGCTCGCCACTGACATGACTTTTGAATGGGGTTTTCACTTTAAACACTTCACAGGCTCTCTGATATCTGTGTTTTTGCAAAAATTCCAGACCGGCTTTTGAAAAGAATCAAAGCACAGAAACTGTCTGAGTCACAAATAACTACTTTGGTGTCAGCGTTGGGGTTAGCTGGTGAAAGAATACACTGTGAAGTTCAACAACTCAAAAAACCACCTGCAAATATCTGTGAATTAGTGATTAATTGCATTTTTTGTGGTTTTAAATATAGTAAAACTGTGGAACTTTGCATTCCTACTTTGTGAAAGAACAAATCAGTTTAGTATCAGGCATGTGGAGGACTTCATATATGAAACAGATTCTGCTTGAGCCGGACTTTTTTGTTGGAGAAAATAGTTCTGATGAAAAGCCTCTGAGCGCCTTGATGGGTTCAGACTTTCTTCTACTCGCTCCTGTTTGCTTCACTGTTCAGCAGACAGGACATCTGAGAACTTTCTGCTCTCCAGTTCTAACAGAACTCACTAAAGCGTTTGGTATCGGCCCAGAAGTCCTGCACGCACACATCAAGTCCTGTCTCACTCATTCTGTGCCAAAAAACTGGATTTAATTCTCGTCTACAAACATTTCCAACATTTGGACAGTTTTGTTTAAAACGTGCAGAAATTCTTCTACGTGAGTTCGTCTCATCATGGCTGCTCGACTTTGCCAGGCAGAAAAGAAAAAAGCCCCTTTTAGCGACACTACACGGCTACTGGGTGGCTTAGGGTTACGGTTTTTAGACTTCATTGATTAGCCAGGTTCCACACTACATGTTCTGGCTTCTGGCTGTTCTGGGTGTAGATTCCAGACTCAGACTTAACAAATCCATCGCTTCATAAAACTGGCTGTTATTGCTTATTCTGTGAATCATTTTCTTATGTTTGTGACATCTTTTCATTATTCTTTATATTGTTTTCTGATGTTTGCTGTGTGAAAAACACCTTGTAAAGCTGTTTTATGACATACAAATCAAGGTTTTATGATTGTGGTGCTCGAGCTGCTTCATGCAGAACCAGCAGGTCCAACAGTGTGAAGATATAAAGATATAAATAGGTCCAGCTTGTCAGAGGACGCAGGGGGACACCACCAGGGCAAAGAGAGAAAGTACCGCTTCCAGCCACTACAACAACTGTAAACTTTTCAAATTAGCCCCCTGGGATAATAAGTGACAAGCAAAAATCACCTGTTAAGCTCTATTCCTACAATACCTCATGTCCAGACAGAGCAGGACTGAGCGACACTGAAGCTCCATGACTGAGTGTCGCTCTTGTCCCTCCTCAGCTTCAGTATATTTGGCCTTCAACATACTTCTGTATTATTATATTATTATTTAGAGCAGCAGAGATAGACAGGAAAGGGAGACAAAGAACGGGGAGAGACCTGCAGAAAGGTTAGGTGAGCTATAGGGGCGCCCCCATGGACCTATAGCCTGTTCATGNGGGGCGCCCCCATGGACCTATAGCCTGTTCATGGTCACCGCTAAGCTAGCTGAGCTATAGGGGGCGCCCCCATGGACCTATAGCCTGTTCATGGTCACCGCTAAGCTAGCTGAGCTATAGGGACACCCACAAATGTGTAATCTAAATTAAATTCAAACAGAGCTTTCCCAGAGATCATGGACCTGCATGCTGTTGGTAAAGCTTGTAACGTTTTTCTATGCTGATAGAAAATCCAGGGCTGCTGTCTGGTTTTTGCTGAACATGTCCATTTAGGAATTTCAGGTCAATTCAGTTTGATTTGTATGACAGCAGTTGACAACATGTCATCTCAAAGCTGTGAGGTCTGTACCTTACTTTGTTAAGCGCTGTGATCACCAGATGTTGTAAACTGCGCTTTACAAATAACATTGAATTGAACTGAACTGAAAATCACTGAACAGTCAGGTACAGACCTCATGAATTTAATCAGCCCTAACCCCTTAGGTTTTACACAAAGAAATAGTGTGAAACAATGCACTCATCATGAAAGAATATAGTGATGTTTTACATCAAATTAAACAGCAGAGCCTGGGCTACAAGCATATATCAGCCATTTCTACATGCCTCAAACACAACTCAAACACCAACTAAATTAATTATCAAATATGCAAATCGCTATAGCGCCACCACGTCAACCCACTCGTCACATTTCTGGCTCTGTCGCTACTGTACGTTATGAAAGACGCACAACCTGCCTCTCAAAATGAAGCAGAGAGTCCCCAGATTCTAAACATATCCATCAAAGCTCTCTAAAACCAAAGCATCAGCGAGAAACAACCCAAAGAACAGCAAAAACCGAAACCGCTTCGTCAAACTGTAGCTATAAATGTCTCTTACCTTAGCTGTTTTGCCGTGAAAAGTTTATTTTATCGGTAAATCCACACCGGAACCAGTTAGTACTACTTCCTGTGCCACACGGAAAGCACGTCACGTATCTCTGTGAGACTCTGTTTCCCATAGAGCCCTACTGCGAAGGGGACAAGGGAGCGAGCGGCTCCCCGACAAAATGGAGTCTTGCTGACTCTGATTGGCTAACAGTGCTGTCAATCTCGTTTTGGTGGCTATCGCTATATTCTATTGGCTATAACGATTCGATGGAGGGTTCAGTTACCGAAATCGACCAATCGATCACGGAGATAGAGCCGAGGGTCACCAAAGGAGCTTCACAGCCGTCTGGTGGCCTTTAGGCACAGGCTGCGTAAAGCAGACAGCGGTCTGGTAGGATTAAAAATAAAGTAAAACACTGATATGATTCTGGAGAGGTTTAGAGCTGCAGCTGGATCATTTCAAAGAGATCATTATCCTGAAACTGTTTTTTTTTTTTAGGCGAACCTGAAATTTTTAAAGTTGTGTGTGTGCCATCTACATGTACTTTTAACCAGTAACATATATAATTTACACATCTGAACAAATCTTACACGTGTTCTTTTTATTATGACACAAGAATTATTCAAATAGACCTTGTGGTTGCAGATAAACTGTTTTTATTATGGGTATGTAATTTTCGAGCGAAGGCCTGAAAAATAGCTCAGGCTCAATAACTCAAAAGCACTTAACACAGTCAGGTACAGACCTCATGAATTGAAACAGCCCTAACCCGAACCAACCCAACAATCCAAAGCAGCCTTTGGGCTCCCTCACAGCAAGCGGTTGGCAACGTGGGAAGGAATCAAAAAAACCCAACTGCATGGGAAAAACCTCCAACAGAACCAGGAAAGGTGGCGTTTAAGGCAGAATTTAAAACATGCAAGCTCCAAACTGTGTCCTTCAAAAAGAGATTTTAACACAAGGTCATGTTTGGATCAACATGTATGTTCCTTTCTGATGTCTGGTGGTTTTGTTCCAGGAAGGCCGCAGCGCAGGAACCTGCTCTGGAGCGGCAAGTGGGCCAACTGTCCCGACTGCATCGTTTTCCAGGAAGTAGAACCTCCTTTAAACGAGACCGGCACAGTGGACTCCCTGCACAGACACATGCTGTATGGTGAGCTGTTCAGCCCACATGATATGATGAAAACCAATCAGCTTTCTCCCAGGCACTTACCCTGAAGAGTTCATTAGCAATAAAATGTCTTCAAACAGCTTGGACCCCAGTTTGGTCAGTTATCTAACTAATCAACCATAGTTTGGTCAGTTATCTAACTAATNATCTAACTAATCAACCATAGTTTGGTCAGTTATCTAACTAATTAACCATAGTTTGGTCAGTTATCTAACTAATCAACCATAGTTTGGTCAGTTATTTCCCTTGTTAGCTGCACATGGTTATCTAAATCATTATCTAGAATTTGGCCAGTTATCAAGCAGATTAACTGTAGTTTTTTTAGCGGTCTAACTGATTAGCTGTGCTTTGGTCCAGCTCCGTTTAGTGGGTGCAGTATAATTGGAGTGATGTTATTCAGTCAACAGAATGAATGACAAACTGCTGCTGATCAACCCTTTACTTAGTCGCGTCCATGTTGCAGCCACAGATGAAAGCGGGGAGGTCCGGCTTTACCTGCTGTGGAGGCGTTGAGGTCTTTATGTTGTGTCAGCCCTGAGTTGTGTCTTTAAATCACCACTACTTCCAAAGAAGCTTATTTCACTTCTTAAACACATTTTTATTGGAGAGCTTTTCCTGCTTTTATTAAGTTTTATCTTTTGTTTTTTAGCTCCCTGCTTTTTGTGTGTGATTTCTACTTTTATCAATTATTCTGTGTGCTTATTGTATTTTAGTTTTTAATTTATTTTATTGAAAAGTTCGTTGTAAAGTTTGTTTTGAAAGATGCTCTATAAATAAAGTTAATGATTAGGATTATTTTAACGATGCTGTACGTGATTACTGCGTTTGTTTGACGTTTCTGTGAACTGCTTTCACTGAAGCTCGCAGCAGTGACGTCAAAGACGAGCTGGTGACGGCGTTCCTGGAAAACGCAGCGTGCCATAAGATGCAGGCGAGCGTCAGACTACCTCAGGAGAAAGGTGTGTTGTTTGGATAACCTTCTGTTGGAGAAAGTGATGCTTCTGAATCTCAGAATGGTTCTTCTGCAAACTCTAATACTGATTTGTGTGTTTGCAGAGTTCTGCACTTAGTCACTAACGAAGAGGAAGGTTCAGATGCGACAGCTGTCTGGACTGGGTTTGTTGTTGCTGATTGAAACTACAGTGAGGTGTCTTCGTCCTGACAGGATGCTGCCGGAGCCACAGGCGTCCTCAGTGACAATAACATCATTTCATGCTTTCTCTGTTTAAGAAGAAAACAAATAAAAGCAAAAAAACACTTTTTTTCTCCCTTTGTTTGTGTGTGAAAAATGTGATGCTTTGGGAAATAACGGCAGCTGTTCCACCCATTACACTTTCAGTCCCAACAACCAAAACTGCAGAAGCTTTGAGAACACAAAAACACCTCCATGGGGCAGAATGCACCCTGAGCCACATCCACCCAGCAGACCTGGGGAAGCCCCACGATGCTCCTGAACAGAAGCACCTGTTCACTTAAACAAGGCAGGACAAGTCTGTAAATTATTATTTTTCTGTTACTTCCTGTTGCCATTAGATATAATCAACACAATATTCATGTGCAGTCAGTTTATGTTTTGTTAACACCACCTAGTCAGCTTCCTTGGAAACTGCTGGATGATTGTTTTTCTGTTTCTAGTCAACAGCAGTTTAATCATCGTATAGCAGAGCTAGAAGAACGTGAGCGGCAGCACATTCAGGTGTTTATGCTCCTGTTGCTCCAGCAGCTACTACAACTCCGTCATCCCTCAGGCCTTCTTTGTGCTTTGCCTTTCCTCAGGGCCAAACGAACGCACGGTGTGGTATCAGTGTTTCACAACGTCACAGGTGAGCACAGTTGCTCGGTAACATGTCAAGTGTAACCGCAAGATAATAAGTTGAGCGGTTGGAAATGCTTCAGGCAACAGGTGACGCAGCCTGCTGACTGGACGGGATGGAAAGCCCAGGACGCAAAAAAATAACCCCAACCCTAAAAAATCCATCAAATATCCTCACTGAGCAGCGGTTTGGGACACTGACGTCATGTTTGCAGACGGTCAAGGTGTTCTTGTGCTTCCCAGGAAATCTCAGAGGTTGTGATTAATGCTAATTTAAAATAATGTATTTCTATTGATATTGTTTAAAATGTTAGCTTTGGACTTTTCTGTGTCTCCTGGTGCGACTGTAACTCAAATGGATGCAGCTTGGATGTAAAGTTGGACTTCAGTCAGATCTGTGGCAGGAGGCTGCTATTTACTCTCCTGCTAATGTGGAGCCTGCCTTAATCTTTGTTTTTTCTTTTTTTGACCAATTTTGTACAAAACCAGCACCATGTGCCATATATGTGCTACACCACGACCACTTTTTTCAACAAACAATCAGTGCACTGGACAAATGACTGAGTGCCATGAGCCGGCTCTCAGCTGCTCAGAGCACAGTCAGGCTGAGCTACGTCTGCACAGCAAACTGTGATGTGGTGGCTCTCAGAAGGTTTGTGGAGTATTATAAGTGTTGTTTATGTGTTCACAGCCTCCCATGAAAGAAGGAAAAACACAGCTTCAGTCACTGAAACAAGCTGAAACTGATGAAAGTAGCAATAAATAAAAATGTAATGAACATCATGACGTTGTTTTTGAATTGTGGTTCAACAGAAATATTAAAACAACAACCAGCCTGATGGGACCTGGTGGACTAACATGTACCTGATCAAGCCTCTGAGCCAATCACTGCCATCAGGTGTTTCCTGTAGCTCTCAGTCAGACTTGTGCACCTGTTGACAGGTGTTCTGGACCACTGCTCATCAGCAAAGGCCTCTCATTGGTCCACTGCTCATCAGCAAAGGCCTCTCATTGGTCCACTGCTCA